AGGGAGAGAGAGAGAGAGAGAAAGATAGAGAGAGAGAGAGATAGCGAGAGCGAGAGAGCGCAAGAGAGCTACGATGCAAGCTAAGTAAGGTCCCCAGCCGCATACCCATAGGCCACCCGAGTTTCTACCGAATAGGCACTATCTGTACTGTAGTCTTCACGCTTTTGAACTCTTCTTCGAGCGCTATCCCGGCCAAATGCTGTCCGAGAATAATATTGAGTTTTTTTTTTTGTTGGGGGGGAGGGGGGGGGCGCTAAAATTCTAAAAACGGTAGAGGGGATTATGTATGTATGTATGTATGTATGTATGCACGTATGTATGTATGTATGTATGTATGTACGTATGCACTAGGTATGTACACATATGTATGTGTGTCTGTGTATATACGCATGCCTCAGTGCTGCTTCTGCCAATAGTATGGTCACGGTGACTGCAAATAGTTTCATAGTGGTCAACATCTTGATCGCCAGTATCCTAAACCCTAGACCCTTTTGAGCCAGAATCTCAGTGCCTGTATGGGCTGCTGGAATTCTGCCGTCCTCTTGCCTGATAGGTGCGACATACAAGATCTGACGCACACGCAACTCGGCGGTTATAGCTGGTTTACCTGCAGGTATCCATTGAGTCTTGTCTATTGGATGAAGTTGACTGCATAGCTCCTTATATCCTCAGCCCCTACTTAACCCCTTCTGCTGCACCCTAAACCCCGAACCCGTGCATCCCTGAGCCTTAAGCCCATCAAACTCCTGACCCCTGATCGCTAAACCCCGCTCCTTGATCAAAACCTTTTTGACTCCTTTCTCTGCAACCCCCGAAGGGGAGTCGTTCCTTGGGCCTCTCTTCAAGCTAAACAGCTCAGTCTACGTAGTCCGGCTTGGAATAGTCGAGCGAAGAGGTTTCAGGGTCCGGTCCAACACTTGGCCTAAAGCCTAAACTCCCAAACTTTTAATCACTTGAACGTCTAAACCGCCAGCTCAGGACACCTGAACAGCCTGAAATCTTAGATTTCTCTACAAACCCTCAAAATCCTGTAGCCTGCGCCACTTGTCCAGGTACAACCACGCCCGTATAGGGGAGGAGGCGCCGTTCCGATTTTGAGTTCTCGAACGACTGTCGGGCTTAATTGGGGTGCTTTTGGCTACTGCTTGTTATAGAATTGTCGCCGAGGGTAGCAGGACTCTAGGATTTAGGTTTGTCAGGTTGCGGGCTTCGGGATTCAGGATTTATGCATTTAGCGGTGAGGCTTCTTGGGTCTACGATTTCGGGTCTTCGCTGCTAGCCCGCCAGATCTTACAGCTCCAGACCCGTCGAATTGGCACCTGTATTCTCCAAGTATTGCAACAAGCAGGGGGAACACCGCGTCCCCAGCTGTAAGTATACAACAGACCGTCTTGAAAACTCGTAATATGCCGCCGATAAAGCTCTTCACTTGGTTCCTCGTATCGGCCATGTTATGTAGAAGCCTGAAACACTTTTCGTAAGACAAAATCATTCCTGAGGGCCCTTTATCAAAGATGTATATACCAGTATAGCCTCCAAAACCCAACTCTGATCCCTAAGGTCCCTATAATAGTACCTTTCGGAGTTCAGGCAAATGGGGTTGAGGCTAAAGGGCTAGGCCTCTCTGGGCTAGGCCTCTCTGTCGCAAATTTAGCGGCGCATTAGTGTTCATTGCCATAATACCTGACCTAACATTGAAGCTAGTATTAGCGGTTCAGTTTTCATTTTTTTTTTTTGGGGGGGGGGGGGGGGAGGGGGNNGGGGGGGGGGGGGGCAGGGTTCACAGCACTGCAGTTGCTTCAACTGCTGCCGTTTTTGTCGCATCATTCTTAAGCATGTTCATTGCAATGAAACCTAACTTAGGCTAGCCCGAAACTCGCTCTTACCATGATTGCCAGCCTTAGCGTTGTTTCTACTAAACTTCGTGTGTTTGTCCGTAGTTTTCGCCAAACCCTGACTCTTGAAACACTACTGTTGTTCATTGGCGAGGTGTTGTGTGTTACCGAGTTGACCGTCGCTTGCAGCTCCCCACTCCAAGCTGCCACACCCCGAACCCGAGACCCTTGAAGCATCCTAACCCTAAGCCTTACCCTAAACCCGAAATCCTAACCGCACAGTAAACCTTCGAGCCACA